TTACTTTTTACATGACAAGGGAAAATACTGTTTGAAGTCATTAATCATTGCAACAGTAGCAGGGACAACCAGATATCAAATCCAAGCTGGTACTGCATTCATACCCATAATAAAAACTGAACTTTGTGCAAACTAAAAAACACACTTACTTTTGCGACAGTGCAGAACTGTGTGCATTTTTGTCATTCAGCCTTAAAACTGCACCCCCTTGTCATAGCTGCAAGCCCCCTGATCTGGAAATCATTGACCACATCCCAGCTCCCTGTAACTACATCCATGCATCTCCCACTTGCATTTACCCCCCCCCCCCCCAGATGCATCAAGAAATTGCTCAGTAATTTTTTTTTTTTTTGTTACTCAGAGGCTTTACTCTGGCTAATTTTAATGAGAAGAGACAAAAAACAGAAAGTGATTGTCTTGTTATCTCCAGGCAATTCACAGGTCTTCACTTTGGTGAAACATCATCCCAACAGAGGCAAGTAAATATGCTTTACTGGACTTCTCCTAGAGGACATCTGTCTGCCAGAATGCATCTGCAAATCCAAACTAATTCAGGGAAACTCGGCTGATCATCTTTCCTAACACGGTCAGATTTGTTCAAGCTGTTTATTTATGTTTTTTTTTTTTTTTTTTTGAAATCCGAAATTATTGGCTTTATTTCTAAGCAGATATTGCCATGTAAAAGCCAATAAATAAACCTTCCTCACATCACCACCTAAGGGAGCTGGGATGTTAACATAGCTGTGTGCTTTTGTTCTTCACTCTGACTTCATGTCTTGCATACACCAAAGCTTGGTAATTCATTATCAGTTGAAACTACTTAGACCAAACATTCTACAATTAAAAACCTGAATGCTTCCCTAATTTAAAATCCAAGAACAGACAGTACAACATCACTGGGATTTATTAACAGAAACGATGGATCTTAAAACAGTGAAAGGGGAGCATTAGAAAGGTCATAAACACACAGTGGTTTCCAAACAGTCTGCGTGTGATGAGCTTCAAAACAATCACAAAAAAGAGGTTGCTTAATGTCACTCCCCTGTTCCCTTCTCTTAGAAAGTAGGAGGAACTAAGATGCAAGTGAGGGCTGCATGGATGTGACTCCAGGGAACTGAGATGTGGTCAAAGTCCACCACTGTATATAGAATCTGTTAAGATGAGTATCCTGGCAAAGATGTACAGGAATCTGCTTATGCCCTGCTGGTGGATCAACAGAAACGTTGATGTGGATTGACTCTGATGTGAAATTTCATTGTCCTAAATGCTTTTATGACTGGGCCTTTTATCTTCCAGTCCTGCATTTGGCAGTCAAACCTCCTTTTGATGATAAAAATAATGATGACATCCCCTTGAATCTTTTCTTGCAGTGCCTCTGCAGCATTGCTTTCATATTACCCAGAAACATCATCTCCACTGCACTGATTAGTATGTATAACTCCTCCAACCTCTCAGTCTGAGGGAGCTGCTCTCTGCACCAGAACAGCTCAGTTACAGTGCAGTGAAGACAGCACATTTATGAAACGCCACATTGAATTTAGGTATTATGTTGAGACACTGGAGATGCCAGGCTCTGAGAGATTTATAAGGTAATGAAAGAAACTCCTCTCGACAGAGCCTTTATCACTCGGCCTCACGTTAGTTTCCCATAATGCCATGCTGCAGGGAGTCAAGTGATCTGAATGCTCCTCTCCCATGGATCTCGTGTGTCCCACGCTGTTGTCAGAATGACTCAGGTGTTACCTGGTGAGAGGTGCTAAACGTCACGGGCTCTTTCACAGCAGAAGGTGAGTGGGTCGGCTCTCTGAAGCTGCTTCCCGGGGACACGTCATGCTGCTGAAAAACAGGATGATCACAAAGTGATGCTACAACTATTTCTAGATACGAGACATGACTGACACAAGAGCCCTATTCAATTGTGCTCCAATGAGTCTCTTTTTCTGTCACTATTTTTCTCTCCAATACTGCCAGACAGGCTCCAACACACCATCCTGTTCTTGCACAGAGCTTATCAGTCATTGCAGCGTGATTACTGGGCCAGTGATTCACAAAATCACAGTGCCCACAGGCACAGCTCCTTGAATATTCTCATAATTTTGCAGTTTGATCTCAGATATTGTGTATTAGAGTTGTTTAAGTGTGATGGTTCAGTTTGTAGATTGATCAAGTTCACTTAAGTGGCGGGTATAGATAATAAGCAGGTCAAAATCAAACCTGTTCATGCATGCAGTGGTCAGGTGACAATGATAGCACCCTCTGCCAGACCTACCACAAGCTATAGCCTGATAAACTAAAACTGTATATTTTGAGCTCACAAAGCTCATTACAAAACTTTTCCTCCATATTACAATCTCATCCTGACAAGTATCCTGTATTACCTGAAACTAGAACTAAAACTAGTAAAAGCTAAAATAAAACCTGATACTTAAAGAAAAAAAAAAAACACTGAAAAACTCAACAGTCAAAAGCCTGGTGAAGACTTGAAACCCTCCTTCAGTGTCAATAAATGACCACCACAGCCTGAGCAGTGCTGCCTCCAAACATGACTCAGAGTTACAGCCATGTTTCAGTGAGGAGAGCGCCGGGTTAAGCTGCTGTATCAGGCTGGATGGGGGTTGTGTTGCTCATGCATATGCTTTGCTTAGAGGAGCTCTCAGCATCCTGACTGATGGCTCCCTCAGCAGCACTCTCTCTGACTGTGCCCATAACCATTAGAAAATATGGAACATGAGCACTAAGCTAGCGCTAAGAATCATACACAGCCGATTAATCTGGAAAGGGCCTTTTCCCCTCACTGATGCTGGCTGCTGTATTACATGGGCACAGGGGACAACTCAGTGCTGAGGAGGCCAATAAAACAGCACTTTCCCTCTGGGGGACCTTACGCTGCCAGGCCATCCGGCATCACCGGAGCCTGGTGATGTACTGTGCCATTAGAAAACCAGCAACACCCGATATGGGTGCCTGCAGGGGGCCGCGGTTGGCTCTCATCTGGGCTTTTTACAATCTGGCTAATTTTCTAGGAGGGAAATCCATGTGCAGAGTTCAATCCTAATGAAGTCAGGGGACATTTGTGTGAATAAACTGAAGAAATGTAACTCTATATCCAGATGGGTGTTGTGGGACTCTGGTTAAGGCTAATTGTAGAATGTAAAACGACATCAATTCAAATTACGTTACAAAACTCTTTGCAGCTTTCAGTGCGACTAATCGTGAGTACCTGTTTGAGTAAAACAAAAAACCCCTCCAAGGCTGGCGTTTTCTGTTTTCCCCCTCCTTCTCCACACTGCTTTAAAAGGACCAAACAAAGGGAACAACTGGGCTGGTTTCTCAGCTAACACCATGGCTCACTGCCTAACAAGAAGCTGGGGGGAATAACATGTTAAGAGTTGTGAGCTCAAGTCCTGCTCTATTCTGCTGATGTTTATTAGCCACAAACAGCCAGCGAGGGATCCGTACCTTATCCTGCACATGAAAGCCTGGCCTGATTTCAAAGTTCCCAAAGAGAGCACAGTCTGCAAAACACCTGCAAGATAACACTGAGGGAGGATTAAACTGCCATTTGACTCTGGCTCTCCCTCCCTCCACCCTCTCTCTCTCTCTCTCTCTTTTTATGTGCAGAGTCTCGAGTAAAGACTGCGACCGTAGCATTCCCGCTAGCTCCAAAGGCCGACTCACCGATATCATTCAGAGTGAGCTTTCCAGATTTGTTTACTTAATCCAATATTTATGCTGCGCGTATGTAAGCGAATGCAAAACAGCCTGTGCCAACCAGCAACACACACAGGCCCGGATAAATGGCAATAAATGAAAATGGAGAAGATGCAGCAGTGTAGAGGGTAGAAGTGAGATTCTGCTGAGAATGTTCGAGTCAAACCTTTAGGTAATGTTCACATCTGGCTGTTTAAATATGAACCACATTGAACCAGTGTTCAGTTTCTACTTGTTGACCAACAGGAGTCTCAGGATTAGCACAAACTGCATCCCAGGATTGGACAATGAAAGTAGAATTATCTATTAAATCTGGAATATTGTTGAATTTACTAAAATGTGGGCGAATATTGGAAGTGATGAAAATAAAAATTTCCATCATTCATTATAATTTTGAGGATCTGAAAGAGTCCCAAAAAGTCAAATGTATCAGGTTAAAATGTGAAAATACTATTGGTTTTAAAAAGGGGGCTTGGTGAACTGCTTAATGAGCACCTCTTAGCTTCAAAAGTACAGCCCTTCCCAGAAGTTTCATCTCGATAGGTTATTTACCTTCACTTATCCAGACTCCAGAGACTTAGGGTGTTTTCACACCTGAAAATCCAGACCAAGGTCCATGTTCTTGTTACATTGTCTACATTTGGTTCGGTCTGGTTAGGTTTCACACTGTCATTATTGCAAATGGACTAACAGACTTTACATGACAAACCTCTGTGATATCGTCATCAACGACGTGCTTTGCATATCTCTGCAGTTTACTTTGATTGGTCATTCAAATTGGCCACATTATGTTGAATATTGTGGGTCTTGAATAGTGTAAACATGAATAAAATTGTCATTCCCCCATCATATTGTTGTTGATGTTCTATGACCAACAGGAGAGGAGAAGAAAGTATACATTCCTGTGAGCCACTGCAATACCAACTCCGGAGAGAAAGTCTGTGTTGTAAAACTCTTGAAAAAAATAAGCTGTCAATAGCTAGGTATAACTTTATCTACAATATTATAAAATTTCCCATTCTTGGACAATCACCATTAAATGTAAAAACAGAAACTTCTACTCCTTGCATCATTTCTTGTCTTTAGGATGAAGGTCTGAACCTTTCAAAATAATGCTTTGACTCTTTTAACATATCGGTGAAATGTTGACAGGTGGTTTGCAATTAAAAAATAAAAAATCGTAAAAATTTTCTGACAATTTGACAATTTTCTTTTTATGCAGCACTTATCTGATCTGCTGGTTTACAGAAAAGAAAAGTCAAATGTTACCTAAGCAAACAGGGACCAAAACTGACTCAGCCTATACATCTAAGATGTACAGATGTATGGATGACATTTGATTAATATATATATATATAAATCAAATGTCATCCATACATCTGTACATCTTAGATGTATAGGCTGAGTCAGTTTTGGTCCCTGTTTGCTCAGGTAACATTTGACTTTTCTTTTCTGTAAACCAGCAGATCAGATAAATGCTGCATAAAAAGAAAATTGTCAAATGACCCTAAATGGATCATAAACAGCTTATTTTTTTACAATTTTTTGTAATAGTATTTTTTGTGTATGTATATATATATATATATATATATATATATATATATATACATATACATGTATATATATATATATATACACACACACACACACACACACACACACACACACACACATACATTTTCCATCAGCATATAAAATAAGATCAAGGATATAAATACTTGTTTTTTTCTGTCTAAATACTGTTTTTTTCTGCAGGGCTCAGGACTTAAAGTATGAACACATAACATGGGTGTGACACTGTGACCCATACATCTGAAATATCCTCCATCCCTTAAGTTGTCTGACTCGCAGAAGGAGCTGTTGGTCTGATTACCATTTCCACGCACAGCCGCAATGTTCTCCCAGAGGGGAGCATCAGGACGTCTTCTCTCTGCTCCTCCATGTCCAGATAATTTGGTCAGAGGTTTCTGCTTCTGCTCATCTCCTCTAGCCATGGTGAAGAAGGCGCCCGCAGACCCATGAGCCTGGTAGGAAGACTGAACCCCTGCTGGCTCTGTCAGTGATTCACTCTATCATCGCAAGTGGATTTTTCCATTTGTTCCATGCAGGAAAGCTTTACTGGACCACTCCACACGGTCAGAAACACATTACTGTATGTGGATAATATGGTCAGGCAGCATTTCTCTTCAGGCATCACACCCAGTTGACTCCATAGAAACATTCAAAGATCTTAAAACTAAAATCCCCAACGGCAGTACAAGTGTGGTTCTTATCAGGAGTCACATGCATGGCAGTCACAGATAAGGCATCGCCTATATGGCAGCACACACACATAAACAGATAAACACAGATTCACAGTAATACACTCTGCACAGGCACATATTTATTTTATGGTACTCAGTCTCGCAAAAGCAGGAGAAATATGCTAATACTCTACACATGCAATAGTGTGCTTTAGATATTGTATATCACTTTATTCCCTCAGTTATTTTCTGTGTTTCTGATGCAAACTTGCTGACTCCGTCTGAAATAAGTCTAAGAGGACACGTGGACACTCTGCAGGTCGCCTCAACTCTCAACAACATGGTCCACAGTGCAAAGTTGGGCTGCATTTAGAGAATGAACCGTTTTGACTATTTAATGTGTAAAAATAACAAACACATGCAAAAAGGAAAAAAAATAAAATAAACAAATAAATATCACAGTTTTATAAGGTTACAATCTCTCCACACTGTAAAATCAAGAATTAAAGAATCTTAATTTAATGTAAATGAGAGGGGGAATTCAAAATTCAAATCATATAGGATGCTGCAGACAGGTAATAGTAGATATCTTGTTAAAAATCTGTATGTATTTCATGGATTTTCCAGTAGATATACTGGCACCCCCTTTAAAGGTGCAGAATTATATATATATTTTTTTATAATTTTGCAAAAACTTCATATATAACCTTTCAGGGTATTGGAAATGATCTGAGAGAAGATCACACCTCTCCCTCTCTTTCTGGCTTTGTAAACAGACTTGAGGAAAATCTTTTCAATGACGAGCAACCAGTTGAGGAAGTCTGATGCACGTCGTGACACAACCTTGGTCACAATAGTCAGCGAGAAAAAGTACCTATTCATGTAACAGGAATGTGCTGTTTGCAAGGCTATATGTCTCAACCATAGACTGTATATACTATGGACAACTTGGTTCCGCCCACCGCCCACCAAATCTGGATTTGAAGCCAAATAGCTCTCGGTATTTCCGGGATTTTTCTTCATTTCCTGAAACCAGTGCTGCGCAGTAGCGATGCGCGCATTCGGACGCGCAGTCGCCGAGAGTCGCTGTGATGACGCTCGGCTCAAACAGCGTGTCCCCCAGGAGAGCTACGCAATCCCTGAACGCCCATAGGCTGTATCAAGTATCAATCATAGAAAACATGAACCCCCTAAAAACTTTTTAAAAAGGAGCTTCACAGAAAAAAGAGAACTTGAGCACAAACCAGTCTTACAATAACTACATGTCAACATCACAAGCAGGGGGGAGAAAAATTTATGTTCTGTGTAATAAATTTCTAAAGTCCACAGTCCCATAAGCTTTGCTGGCTGAGGCGGGATTTATGACCTATACTGCAGCCCATCAACAGAGGGTGCTGTTCTTGGAGTGGCTTCATCCAGCAAGGATACAGTCCATGGTCTCAACAGGACTCAACAGTACTCAAGTCACATGTGCACATACACACACACACACACACACACACATATTTAATATTAAAATTTCGTTCATGGTCTGCATGGTATGCATGGTAGTCTGTTGGCATCTACAGTAGCACCAATGCTATTTCCTTTCATGTTGACTTGGCCCCATTTCTAATTATCAAAAGTATTTATCTTTATTATATCTGAATTTAATTGAAAGCACCACTGTTGTTTTAAAAAAAAGTATAGTGGTGTTGTTGACTGATGAAGCAGCTTGGAAAGTTTACAGATAAAATGAATATGTACAACAGATATTTGAGACAGAGTAGTATCTTTATACCACACTCTGTATAACATCAAGTCCAGAGCAAGGAGTTTGTACACCATAAAGGCCCCACAAGATGTACATCTGAACAAGAGGACTTACTGTTTAGATATTATTTTTCCGATAAATGTATGTTATATTTGATCTTATTTGTCATCTTTTATGCTCCATTACTACTGCTGACTCTGTTGTGACAAAAGTTGTTCAAGTCTGGTAGTAAATTGCCGGGGAGTTGGAACAAGCATGAGCGTCTGTTTGTGGGCAGGGCTTGCTGGAGCAGTGAGTGAGGGCAGAGGAGGAGCTGAGGGGAAAACTGGTGGGGAGGGGTAGTGTTTCAATTCAAAATTTCTCCCCAAAACTGGCACTTCCTCAGAGCCTGCCTACCCCAGCTTTAAATTAAACTACTTTGTCCTATTTTACATACCTCCTAAAAACACATTTTATCAAAAGGTCTTCTTGTGAATTTTTGCACTTTATACACGGTGCTTAATTTATCTTTTTAAATAAATTAATTATGTTAAATACTTCGCCTCTTTTTTTTTTTTTTTAGCTCTGGTGTCATGCTGTCTTTGAATTGATGTCTTGTTATTTTGCCTCCTTGATTATGTGCCGTGTTATTTGTGATATTTTGTAACACCTGTCTTAATATGTACCAAATAAATATAAACAACTTTAATTATTATTCACCTAAAAAAGTTTAAAAAAAACTGTTAATGGTCTGTTCATAAATGGCTAGAAAGATAAAAAGTCCACACCTTAGATTCGATACCTCCCAGTCTGTCATGGATCTTTCTCATAAAGCGACTCTGTCTCAATCACAGTCCATGTAATCCAGTTGATGTGTTTCCCTTTCATATCAATGGACCAACCCCTTTAAACTTCCCTGATCATTTCCTTAAATAAATACAAAAACAACTTAATCCCTTTAACAGCTCCCATGTTTCCTTTCCCATGACCTCAGGCGTGATGATGCGCACAATGAGCTGGAGCGTCATGTAGACTTAAGCTAAATGAGTAGCAAGGGCATTATTTATCATCAAAGGACCTTCTAATTACTCCTGACGCCTCAACATGTCTAAGGAAACACCCAGAATACGAACTTTAGCTTTTATCGCCAATCTGTAGCCTGAGCAAAATTAAGGATTGGCCTGTGCGTAATCACTTGGCACAGGCAATTATAAAAATAATTAGAATATTAATTAGAATTTCTCATTAGTGCACCCTGTTGTTTAAGGAAATTAGTTTAATGATAGGAAGGTCCTGGTCTTCATCCTTCCCAGTGGGGGCCCAGTTTGCCCTGAGAGCAGGAGTCAGGAGCCTGAAGAAAGAGCTGGAGCTCAGTGGGAATAAAAGTGACAGAGGAGTGATGATGGGATTAAATAAAGGTTTAACAGAGACAACAGAAAATGTAGCTGAGAGCGATGTTTCAATTTAAAAGAGGGATGTTTGATTGGTAGATTAGGTGGAGGGATATTCAAATGGTAAATGTAGGGCATCAGATCTTGGTTTGAACCTCTGTGGTGACTCTACACCAATCTGAGTGTACATGTGCTCTGGAGTATCACACTACAATGCTCTGCCTCGACACGAATTGACTGTCCTGTGTGGGTGCTTTGGTAACATCAAAGCTATTATAATTGCTCAGCAGGTATTTGGTGTGACTAAAACAAGTGTTTTGTTTAAAATTGTATGTCAGATAATAATTCAGCCAACAAAAAATATGATTAAGGTTATAATTAGTTTTTGCAGATAAACAGTTCTCAAGGTATATTATCTCTGGAGATTGTAACATAAGGCTCTATTGTGACTGACTCACATTTGAACAAGTTTCCAGTTTCAGTTTAAGGAATTGCAGTTTTTTTGTATGTCCACTCAGATATAGTGTTTTAGTCCACGCACATTTAAAAGCATAATATTATCATGACATTCTTTGTATTTCAATATAATTACAGAGCCTTATAATATCTGTGGTCCACTTGAAGTATGAGTAAAAGTCTTGTTGAATACATGTTCACAGATTTCTCTTAGGCTACTTTCTGTCATTATTCAGCCGTTTCTTTTTAACCACCTTTCTTTCAGTCTATGTCCATTCTGGATCCAAAAAGGCATGTCGCTGTAGATTCAGTTAGAGTATTTCAATTAGCCCTGGTCTATGTTTGTCTGCAGAATATTAATTCCTTTTTTTATTTTTTTGTTCCCACTACCAGCGGCAGCTTGTTACATCTCACCCCCACAGCAGGCGAGCTGGAGGAGGATGTGTACAAGCGGGAGACCATTCATTTGATTGGAAGGTTAGTGAATAATCAGCCCAGTCCAGCCATGACACTGGATTGCGCTGGAGACTAGGCCAGGTGCTGCGGTTCACAAAGTTATTTATTAACTGAGATCAGCATTCAAATTTATTCTGCCACCACAGCTGCCATTCCCACGGTCATCTCACACATCTCCACACACTCACGCTCTCTGTTTATCATCGCCATGCCTCAGTCTTTATCTGGCTGCCATGTTGTTGTCATTTGTTATGTTTTCCTCCTCCCTCCTGTCCTGTTTCCTGTGAGCAGACTGACAGTCCCAAATAAACAAAAGCAGAGAAGTCTTGAATTCAAACAACATTGTATAGGCAGATGAGTTCAAAAGTTGCCATACATATTAAAATGCTGTGTTGACTGCTACAGTCAAGGGATCAGAAGCCCTACTTTACAGCACATCTTCATTCAGATAAATAATTTGTCTCTGTCATTTCCAGTACTAATTCATGAATAAAATCATCATCACATGTCTCATTATGTGCCTGTAAGCTGTCTGAACATGCAGCAGGACCACCTCCACATGCAACACACCACAATCCATATGGGGGATATAAATACACTTGAGCCTCTGGAGCAGCGTTTGTAACCTACATACAATAACACGCAGCACAATAACATGTCAAGCATCAAAGCAATCCCACAGACTTCCTCAGGAAACCATTTCACTTCAAATCAGTGGCTCACAAACATTTTCAAACACTTCCATTTGACTCCTTTTGAGAAATAGATCATCATGTTTGACAAATAAACCCACATGGATAAACAGGTGCACCGTCCCCACTGTGTGACTGAGGTGATTGCCAATTTGCATGAGTGACTTGAGGTGTCCAAACAGAGAGGAAATAGAGCGCTGCCTATTATAGCCTGCTATTGATACCGCTGCCTTGTGCGCCTCCTCTGAGCGCAAAGAAACACCTTCTTTCATCTTTTGTCAGGAACACAATGCCGCCTGCATTGTGGTGTCATTTTGCAGCAGGAAAATTGAAATGGTGAGATGTTCCAATGTGCCATTGTATGTTTTCCTATCAGGTTCCCATATGTCGCTGACAAATGACAACACAGGGCGCTGATGCTGTTAGAGACGGTTCTCTGGGTGCCACATTTTCTCTTTTTACATATTCGAGAAACGCACAGTGGTGCAAGAAGGAATGATAATGCTCTTGCCCTAGGGCAGAGTGCTCTGCAGAATCACACAGCATATTTCTGACTGTGCAGCAGCTTCAGCTCTGGAAACACAGAGGCCACAGCCAAAGGAAGGAGCGTCCAACTGCCTTTCACCAGCTCTCGCGGTCAGTGACAGATGAAACCTCGCCTGATGGAAAATGCCATGCAGTTAGAGATGACAGACAGAACAGAGGATGGGGTCTAGGGTCTGCTATGTCACATGTCGATGCGAACTCATAGTTCTGAACCTTATGCATACTGCACATGCAGATTTATGCAGCAGAGAGCTATATACCAAAACTATGAATGAAAACACATCAGAAAGGTTTAGCAGTGTACATAAAAAATTTAAACATGCATAACCCCAAATAAGCAATTCCTCATCATAAATTCATATTGACTTACATAAATACTGAGAAATACTGTATATACAGCACTGACCCCAATCAAGTGGGAACATATTCTATCTGGAGTTTAATAATTAAGAAGATATCATTGCTTTGTTTACAATGTCACCTCTATAAATTCAACACCACTGTGTAGCAGTTCACTGTCAAATCCACTCACTTTGTGAGACTGAGAACTTTTCAAGGGATACACTTGACACAAAATTTTACACTTTTTGTGTAAAGGTCAGCTTTGATACACAAAATCAAAATTGACATTGGATGACTTATTTAGAAATAAGACCTGGAAAGGGGGGTTGTCAATAGCATCAGGTTCATCTTGTATTCAGGTCAATTTGTTATTTTAACCCAGCACAGAAGTTCACTAATGCTCTAAATCTTTCAATAGTCCCAAACCAGAGTGGTCTGACTAAAGGCCATCTGGAGTTCCATTGTTTGATTCACGCACATCTTGACTGACCTGATCATAACACTGCCCTCTGACCCTGTACATCAAGGTGGTAATAGGTGAAGTGGCTTCTTCCCTTCTCCCACCCCCACTCTGTCACCCACAAACCACTTCCCCCAGTTTGTAACTGGGAATAGCTGTCTGCATGTTGACCTTGCCATGCTCCATTGATTTGGGTACTTTAAGCTCATACTGTCCACATTTATCACGACAGGAAGCAGATTGGGGGTGGGTTTGAGTTGACAGGTTTGACACCAGACACCCGGTACCTCCCCCCTCGATGCTCTCAGGTCTCCTGACTCAAGTCTAACCAGCTCTGACAGGCTCTATGAATGGAAAATGTTAATGACCACGTATGTTAGCGAGATCTTACAAGTGCTGGCTGGTTTTATCAAAGGGGTTGGGGGTTGGGTTTGGCGTCTCCAAGGTGCCTGAAAATCCGAGGTCCATGATTGCTCAGGATGTAGAGAAGAAGCTGAACAAAGAGTAATGAAATTCACTGTGAGGGAAGACAAAGGACCATGAAGTGTGTGCAGAGTGTGAACACAAGACGTCAAAAATATGCAATTAAATGCTTTCAACTGAAATGTTTAGCCAATCACAGATGGATTTTCAAACAAGCCCATTTTCTTTCTTTAAAATTCAACTTACTCGACATTTCAAAGAGAGAAAATGATTCAAAACATGCACACAACGTTAGCATCTTGGATGTTGATTGATGATTCATTATGTCTCTTGAATTGCTTGTCAACACTCTCTTTAAAATTTACAGCTATTTTCTCTTCCCAAAGACTAAGACTCCACATAACAAAGAAAGGTTTTCAAGTTTTCAGCATAACAGTAACAGAATAGCTGTTAGTGCTCACCACTTCAATATGACTCCTTTGTAAACAAAGACCAGTACCAGCTGGATTAGAGTCTCAGCTGTTACCGAAACCTGGAGCTGATCATCTATAAAGACTTTCATGACACAAGCTGGGAGCAATGTCACAATGAACCGGGCTAAATGGAGAGCTGAGTGGATCCTAACTGAGACATTTTTAGTAAAGGCATAACATTTGGGTTGTTTTAAGACTTACAGACTGTGTATAGATGAGGTTAAATGAGAAGGTTTTTGAGCTGCTATTCACGCAAGGTTGCTTGATGGGTTCCACAGACTGACAGAAATGAGTAGAACCAACTTCCTGACACTAGCAAATTGTACAAAGAAATTCTATGGCCCACATTGAAGGTAGTGAGCACTAGGTTGCTGACTCTCATTTTTTGCTGCTCTGTGTTTTTGAGCCAAAAGTAAAAAATGAGCTACAGTCATGACAAGCTTATGTTTGCAAAAATTAATTAACCCTAAAATATCAGTTTAATATCAACCTCCTTTTTAACTGTCTTGCTCTGTTTTTAATCAGGTGCAGAAATTACTAATATAATATCAATGATTCATGTGAACTGGCTGCTCACACACACTCCAACAAGTGAAGAAGGGAAGCACCAACACTTTGTCTTTCAATGAAACCTCCAGTAAAACGGACTTAAAGAAGTACCTTAGCAGAAGTACTTCATACCCTAACTCTCTCATTCAGTCAGTGCTCCCCAGGGACACCAACTAAATTCAGTTGGAGAAATGTTTCACTGAAATTCTTTTTAAATGGTTTCTTAAACTCTGTGTCTTCATGGCACCCTGGGTTGATTCAATTCTCGTGTAATTTCATGGGTTTAATTGAACACATTTGCTCCTTGTACCACTTCAACAGCCTGTTTAGACTAAATCAAGAATAGTAATGTTTGGTGCTGTTACCTAACTTATAATTATAATAATAATGATGATATAAGTTTAGTATGCAAAGACATTGGTTAGTTATCATAGTTCTTTTCATATAATAGTAGAGAAATCACCCGTTATTATTTTTAGGCTGTTTTTTTTATGTTTAGAAGATCCAGATTCTCTAAAGTCTTTTCAAAAAAACCTGTTCTATTAGATATTTTCATCAAAAAAAACAAAGTCAGTAAAAGAGGCCACTGTAGGCCTTAAAAAGAATATGTTTAGTTCATGAATGAGTTTGGGGAAAATGAGGTTGCAGTTTCTGGCTCATAGGAAAGTCCAAATTTAATTTGCCGAATTTCTCCTTGCATTCATCCTGTTTGGTTAATTTTCAATGTCGGAGACATACAGTGTTGGAAAAAAGTTTGGAATATTTGTCAATTCAACCCCAGCCTCGTGTTTAACGTGGTCTGCTGCTTTCTGGAGGATTATTCAAAGACTTTTTAATGTTCCCTGGTCTCTGTGATATGTTTTTGAAATTCACATCAAACTATTTTGTTTCTCAAAAAATTGTAGGGCGGACACCTCATGATTCACAAAAGGCCATAGAAATAACGCATAAAATCATGAGTCGGTATGTAATAAATAAACGGCTGTAATTTTAAATTGCCACAAAATACGTGGACCATCTTTGAAAGCAACATCAAACATAACAAGACGATAACAACAATACAGTCAGTACTTTGTGTGACCGCCTCTAGCATTGTACAATGCGCGTACACGTCTGGGCATGCTGGTCACTAGGTTGGTAAGGGTTTCAACCAGGATTTCTCGCCAGCATTGGATCACAGCCTGAGTCAGTTCAGCCACGTTTGTTGGAGGATCATTCACGTTACACGAAACACTGAAGAAAATATTCCAAACTTTTTTCCAACACTGTATAGTATCTTACTGTGTCCTTGCAAAGGATCATCAAGTATTTTTCTTTTTGTCTTTGACACTTAATGGTTGTGAGTCACCTGTTGATTCATAGGCTGTCTAATTTGGCCTCCAGCATCTTCTGCAGACTTATCTCTTTATGCATTGGGCCTTCGAAAGGATGCTGATGCCACATCTGAGAACTAAACTGCACTGGAGTAGATTTTTCTCCTTCAGAAACCTATTAAACGTGAAATTAAGTTAACCTTTTAAATATACTTTGAGCTGGAACTCTGATAAATTTCAGACGACAAAAGTATTTTAAGAGTTGGAGACATTTATTGGATAAAAGTTGGGCTGCTTTTCTTCTGAGTAGAGCAGCAAATGTAGAAATCATTTAAACATGTTTCTGAGGGCAGTGTGCAGGTAATCATACGTAAGAGTTGCCTGCTTTCATGCACTCATGCTATTTTAGGCTTTGAGTGTCCTTTTATCCCTCTACCTCCTAATAGCTGAGCTCTATTGATTTCCCCTCCAAACATCTGTCCTATTAGTATGTTCTCATCATATCTCTGATGAGGCCTATCTCCAAGATGAGATGGAGCAAATCCTGCAGCCATAACAACAGGACCCCATTAGTGCATCCCTGTAAAGGTTCATACAAGTAGATGGAGAAGAATGGATGAAGTATACAGGGAGCACAAGCTAAAATGGAAATAAACATGAGACACAGGAGTTCAAACCACTGTTATTCCTGGGCTAAGAGTGTTTTCTCTATTAATGCAATCAGTCTTGTTTGGGCTTGCTGGATGAGCACGGTCGGCCTCATATAACCAAGGTTATTAATTTCTATTACCCTCTAAAACAGACAAAAAAAGAGGAGGACAGGGGAAGTGGAGAGTTTGGGAATGGGATGGAGGACAGTGATTGTTGATCACAATAGAAAGAACTGAAATTGGTGCTATTAAAGTAAAGACTATGACCTTTTCCCAAAGCAATATGAATGTGAAGACTGTGAGTATGTCTTATATTTTAACCAGAATTATCAGGGATTATAATCTTGTTTTATTTTATTTTTTAAACAGGCATTATGAGTAAATAACACAATGGATCAAATTTACTGGTGATTTTTGTAAGGGAACACAGAAAGCTTTGCGGTCTGATGTCGTAAGGTACATTGTGTTAAAAACAGGAATACAGATGGGGTTGTCAGCAGGGCTGTCCTAATTGGCCAGAAATTACATTTCAATACGCTCTACAAGAAACACATAGGTTTGAATTGTTGAAGCATCTTTTCCCGATGTATCTATTTGATCATGACCTGACAGATGGTGTGCCATTACCAAGCAGCAACTGAAGCTGATTCCATAAGCGTCCACCAGAGTCTGTCAGCACAAGCACCAGAAACCACATACACTAGGCCAAAAAAAAAAAAAAAAAATTCAAAGCAAAAATAAACACATTTATACAGTCTGGTTAACAAACACCCACTAAGGGGAGTGATTTTTGTTGTCTGTTCGTTAACACTGCATACTTCTCCACCCTGGGATGAATAATTGTTTACCTTACCTTAGAAGTAAATTGCTATTGTGTAATCGTCTCTGAACTTCAGCTCATAAGAGAATGATTCCATTCAGTGTTGTTAACTCGTGACCATTTCACTCTGGTTGATCATTAATCTTCATCCAACTACATGTGAACCCAGCCAAACCAGGAAATCACAGCTAACATAAACCAAACTGTCTTCTGTCAGCTCTGTCTCAAACTAAACTGTCCTTTGTGCCAAGGAACAGGCAACCAAGCCAATGGCTAAATGATAGACAGATGCATGGAAGTAGCTTTTTTCTTTTCTTTCTTTCTTAAATTCGGATCATTGGAATTGATTTCTAAGTTTTGCTTGCTTCTTGTTACCTTGTATGAATTCTCTCTCTGTGTTTTCCTCCTTCAGTGTCTTTTCCTGTGTTTGCACCTGTAGCTATTTACTGTCTGTGATCCCCTATTGTTGAACTGTGGCATCTTTGGACTTTTTGAACTTTTTAAGGAAAGAATTTTTGTTTGGACCTTTGCTTTTGCCTTGTCTTTGCTGATTTTAAGTCTTAATTTTGGGTCTTCATCTTTTTGTTTTCTTTTTTTTTTGTGAGAAAAATTAGACGGACCACCAGAAGTTCTACCATAAACTATCCCATACCATAAGTAGGTGCTGTTCAGGATTTAGATTTTTGTAACGCAATGAAACTAGTAATGTTAAAGGAGAATTATTTTGCCCCTTTTAGCATCACCTGTGCTTCACGTGCATTGCGAATGTTTATTTTACTGTCTGTTAAAATACTTAAATCCAGTGGGCATGTTTGAACCACAAATGGAGATGTCTTACCAGAGTCAATATGGGTTTGTGTGAGACCCTGGGCTGACCTGTACAGCAAAACACACTTGCACGCACACACGCATGCACAACTTAATAACCATCATTTAAATTTGTTTAGAACTACACGATTGATTGGTTGGCTGAGGGTAGTTTGCTGTCTTGAACAAATGTGTAAATTGTTGGGAGCATCGAATCTTAGGATGGATTTGAGTCTGAATTTTGACCTCACAGACTTCTGTTTATATCTCTGTTTTTTACTTTCATTGCATTTGCTGACTGTAACGTTAAGGCTAAGAACAGCTAACAAACAATGACTTTATCATAGTGTGACCAGATGTCCCTGATTCCAGGGGACAGTCCCCTTTTGGATGACTTGTCCCTGGCTAAAGCTGTCCCTGGAAATGTCCCAGATTTTAGCATTTCGTGTAGACTAGAACAATGGTTATCAAGGTAGCTGTGCATATAGGAACCAATATATACCAAGTAGTAGTGACTAATGAGTTGTGGTGTTTTGTTGTTCGCGAATGATTCATTCAAAAGAACCAAATCTTTTACGTGAACGTACTGAACCGAATCACTTCCTCAAGTGATTTGTTCGTTGCTCAATTCAGTTGAGCTGTCAGCAGGGCAGATGCTATAGCACGCAGCATTGCAAGGCGAGCAGCCGGCATACAAGGGATTGCATGCACCGACGCCTGAATCACTTGGTAAAGAAATCATGCATTGAACTACACTCTCTGGAATCATTTTTGTAGGACAAACTAACTTTTTTCATTTTTTACTGGTAAATTGCCACCACAACAGCTTGCATACAATAGGACACAGCATGTAACAAGTAGTGCATAAAACCCGCAGCATCCTATTATTGCAGCAGTTTGCGAGGGAATGATGCATGTTAAGTGTGAATTTGTCTAAACGTTCAGTGTATGAATCACTCACTGAGCCCAATTTACCGAACAGACCTGTTAAATAGCATACCATAGGACAGGACAATTGAAATAGACAACATGACTAATAGACAAGCTCATTTTTACAAGCCTGTTTGCCATAGCAACACAGCCAAACACTCTTGTCTCTCGGTCCCAGAAGCTATGATTTGAACTGAATCCTGAACCGTTCAGCTGTGTATCAGTTCAGGAGGTCGGAGTCCCAGGCTCGTCCCGCCAAGCACTGAATGATCCGTATATTCAATGAAGATATCTTTTGAACAAATATTTTTAGTGAACTGATTCTAATATGATTAAGTACATCTAAAAGAACTGCTGTGCTCATCACTAACGAGTTGTTCTCTGTGATCACATATCCAATTAACCCCCCCCCCCCCCCCCAATCAATAATGCACCGTCTTGAAGATGGGTCTGTAGGCCTCCCAGATCCCAGCTTTAATTTCAGGAATCTGGTCACCTTACATTATTGGTCAGTCACTTGTCACTGAGTAATAAATCTGAACGTGCACGTCAAGCAGACCAAAGCAAACACATCATCAGGCACATTCGTGACTTGGTGAGGCGGCTGGTCACTGTTTTGCCATCAGCTGCACCTTCATAGGAGTTGTCACACATACAAAAAAGTGTTTAATCATGCTCTTGTTGTTCATGTCATCTCTAAAGGCAGAAAACAGAACAAGCTTCTTCACAACAAGCATCTGCTTTTGGTCTTTCCAGACATTCATTCCCAATGCTGTTAACCCCTGCTGCTCATCGTGTTCATTGTTTATTCTTCTTATTTCATGTCTTTATCAGTTCATGAATCTGACTTTAGCACAGACAGGAGTCAGATAAAACTAATCCAGTTTTTTAGAAACCAGTCACTATCCAATAAAAATACTGAGTTATGCTTTTTGCACCACTGCTTCTGTAATCAGGTCAACTACACAAGATCTGATCGTATTCCATTTACTGCATGTAAACACTCCCACTATTCATGTGTGTATATATACAGTTAATAAAACTTCAAAAAGTACTTTTGTTTTCCTTTTGGTTTTTCAAAGATGGTCTTTTTGTTTATTTTCACCACTTTTTCTCCTCTCAGCAGCCACAGTGAAGGACTTTGTGGTATCACCACTTTAACAAGTCCTCTACTTTGACACTAGTTTTTCACTTTTCCTCCAACATAAGAGATCAAAATGTCACCAACCTGAAAATAAATTTTGTTTCATGGATTGGTAGACTGTGTCAGACTACAGGACTCCTACCCAGAATCCCCCTTTGACCTCCCTCTTGTCCTACATGTGGACATGAGTCAATCTAGTCAGTTACTTCACGCGGTGATCACAGGAACCAAGGTCTTTACTGGTAAAACGGAGGTAACTTAGTGTCTGAATTAGTTTAAAAGGCTCAGGTAGCAAAGCTGGTTATGAAAAGCAAAAGGATCACTCTTGGAGGGGTGAGGGCCTCAGGAACAGCTGTGCTGTGCCTCTTAAATGCACCATGGAGACAGGTGCTCTCTAACATGGAAATATAGCCAGTGTGCCAAAAGGAGAGGCCCTTTTTGTGCAGAGCTGGGTACAGGGTGGAAGCGAATCGCAGTTCATCTCCCCTGACCCCTCTGTCCTTCAAGAAGATTAGTCCAAGCACATCAACTCTGAGCAGGACGTGAGAGAGAACATGTAATCAGCACTAAAAACAGGGTGAGGGGAAGCAATACAAGAAGTACTGATG